GTAGCGCTCCGACCTCGATGAGAATGAGTGATGACCAGAAAAGAAGGTCAGTCGACTAAATAGATTACTTTTCTCTCCCTCTTAAACACAGAGATTGTTCAATCCTAATGCATTGGTATGTAAAGACCATTCAATAGATCCATTTAAAGGTCTATACATTTGGAATGAATGTACACAGCTTTGATAGGCCCCGAAGTCATATGTAAAGAATGTTCAAGAGATAATAGCGAGGGCCTGTACCCTTGAAGCTGATATATATATATATATATATATATATATATATATATATCAATGATGAGCCCCGGCCCTCAAACAGCAAAAAAGTCATTTTGAATGTAATATTATGTAGGCATATAGCCTTACTCTTCTTTTTTTTCAATTGGGCCCACTACCCCTTAAAACAAATGTTATGAGTTATGAAAAGAACATTCAAGATATACAATAAGGGCCAATATCATGAAGCTTATAGTAAATCAATAATACTACTAGTAATAATAATAATGATAATAATATTGGATATTTCATGGTGCATAATTATATCCACCATGCGAGGTGCACAAGACGGTCCAATATTACCCTGGCTCTATGCTAGGCTACCGTTTTTTTTCGGTGCCAACAGCATTCAAGGAAATCTTTACTACCGGTACTCATTTAACACCTGGGTGGAGAGTGGCAAATGTAGATTAATGGCTTGCCAAAGGATATAAGTATCATGGTATCATGTAGGCTTTATATCCTTAAATTTTTAGTTCTTTCAGCTTGCATTGGTTTCCTACGTCTTACAGTGAAGTCGTTAAGAAATATGAGGGCCTATATACCTAGCTCATTTAAACAACATTGATAAGCCTGAAAATCAGTCATTAGTCAGTTTGAATCCGATATTATGTTGGATTATGTCCTTACATTTATCTTACTGTCTTCTGTAATTGGCTCGCTATCCGATAGAGAGATTGTGCACAATGCACTATAATTATAAGGTAGTCCACTGTCTGGACTGTTTCTGTGCCATGTGCACAATCAGCTGAGAAAATAACACATCCTCCAGGCTAGCTTTCATCTCACTCTCTCTCTCTCTCTCTCTCTCTCTCTCTCTCTCTCTCTCTCTCTCTCTCTCTCTCTCTCTCTTCCCTATCCCTTATACTCTACCCTTACCACTTTTCTTTCTTTCTTCCTCCACTCTTTACTCTCTGCATTTTACTCTCTGCATTTTACTCTCTTTTCATCTATTTTGAGGTCAATGCATTTGTTCATGAGGTAAATCACTTTCATCCTAATAAGAAACAACAAAATGGTTCTTCACACTATACAGAATGCAATTTTGTAAAGAAAAAAAGCTAGCTCAGCTCTCTCCCCTCCCTTCTCTCTCTCTCTCTCTCTCTCTCTCTCTCTCTCTCTCTCTCTCTCTCTCCTCCCTCTTTCTTTTTTCTCTCTTTTCATCTCTACCTCTTTCTCTCGCTCTCTCTCTCTTTTTTTTCTGTGTCTTATATTCTCATTAAGCTCTACATGAGATTGGAATCGAATACACATCTTTCCTTACAAACTGTATTGTATTGTTGTTAATTACAAGTCAAATAACATCTATATACAAATATATCACAATGTCAAATTTGATCAGCAAAATGCCTATATAACAGACGAGTAAAATGCAAAACCATTGAATAGCCTCACAGCTCCAATGACTACTTATGAATATTCTTCAAAGGCAAAGTCTGAACAATAGAATTAACATATCTATAGCACTTGCTAAACAAATTTGTATTCAAAACCTTGTGTGCTGTATTGTAAGAATTGAAGTCTTATGATCAGTTTTGAGGTCAAAATATCATCCTGAAAAAGGGAAACAAGAATATATTCTGAGGACTATTTGAGCAAAATGCATTTTTGTAAAGGGTAAATAGTAGCCTTTGTGGAAAAGAGGGATAATTTTTTTTTGTTTTCAATGGTGTAGCGTGAGTTCAGACATTGAGGGGGTGCCAGTATTAATTTTTATTTGAGGGGGAGGGGCACACTGGTCTAATTTGAAGGATGAAATAAAAATTAACAAGTTCACTATTGAGGGGTAGGGTGTAGAAAGGGTTGCAGCCTCTTTAATTCACTTTTCCTCCCCCCTCTCCCTTTTTCCTCTCTTTTCATACCCCCTATTTTCGTCACTTTGATTGGGGGCATAAGCCCGTTGTACCTCCCTGCAGCTACTCCACCTGTGACCATACATATTGCACTATCCCTTTTTCTTCCACTGAAGTGACCATCCACACCTTTACTGTAATATTTAGACTACCTTGTTTGTCTATATTCAATATTTACTTACACTGCACGTTAAAAACAATGTTAGTTTCCTAATTACCGTGAATATCAGTTAGCATATATCCCTTGAGTGCACATTTTCAACATGTAAGAAAATATATTAGCAAAAATCTTCTATTTGGTAAATAACATCAGAACACAATATTGCTTATCTGACTATTCATGCACTATACTATTCATTTAATCACTTAAAAGATGATTACTCCCAAGACTGTCATGAAGCAAAAGAGAAGTATACTTTAAAAGAACATACTTCTGAACTTTAATACCTATATCAATTTACAAATTTAATACTCATGTAAAAGAAAGTTGTGAAATTTATTGAAATATAACTGGCACTATAAACGATTAGCAACAGAACATGTTCAATGAAATTTCTGTACTAATCCAACAATTTCTTTTAAATGGACATGCGTCACAATCGCAACTAATACTTTTGCAAAAATCAACCTACGGCAATTCCAACGGCCTTGTACTTATACATCACCATTTGAAATGTGTGAACATCACAATGACACATTGTGTAATCTGGACATGGTTTCTATGGGACAGACAAAAGGGTATTAAAATTGCCCATGAGTTGATTTTTCATAAGCAGTTGCGATCGTGTTACACCATGATTTATATTATGTGAGGGTACAGTATGAAAGGCAGGTTCTCTATTTTGTAAAGGTTATTACCTCACAAAAAATCTTCAGGGTTTTAGAGTAAGTCTTCAACAGGAATTGTATAAGCCTGTTCATAGAAGTTTGACACCAGACAGAAATTAACCCATTGCATACGAGACACGGGTGGTTCCTGTGTTAAGTATATGGGAATGAAAGTGTTCAGTTGTAAATGGGTTCAAAGAAACACTACAAACTTACTTCCTTGTGTTTCTTTTAGGCAAGGCATAACAAATTCAAAACACAATTTGAGGTAGCCAATATCCTGTAAATGCATTCATATCAAAATGAATCAAAAAGCTAATTTTACTCCTCCATTTGACTTCACTTGAACAATCACATGTATGTAATTTCTGTATAATTTTGAAATACTTTTGTGTTTTTGAATAAGAAGTGATATATTTTTATATACAAATAATCGATTTTGTGACCAGCACCTTTTGCTTATATCAGGACAAACATACAAGGTATTGTAGAAGGGTAGCTGTTTGAGGGAGTGGGGTTGATGCATGCTTTTTACTATAAAACAAATTATGTAATAATGTAGCTTATTGCCATGATACAGGTATGTTGCCAGAACATTTTGAGGGAGGAACGGGGGAACAGGTTCAGACCAAACTAATTACAAATTTGCCAACGAAGATTTGAACTCATAATTAGCATGCTTCTGTCGACCTGAAAGGGGGGGGGGGGGGTCATACCAATTGTCTGGTAACGACACTGTATGGATGTTATTCTTTTTAAGAACAATCTTTTTCCTTGACACTAAGACTTGAGGGCAATGGGAAGATACAATGACAGAGGTTGCCATATTCATACATTACACAGAATTTGAATAACTTCTTTCCGATTCATATTATTTCATTTTGAGCATGGTATTTAGAGAATCCAATTTTATAATTGATAATTGATCCTATATCTACACCAACTCCTTTAATATGTAAAAAAAATATTGCCTGTTAACCTCTAGAACGATGTGCAGTCATACATTTTTATATGGATTGAATGTTCCTCTGACCTTCAGCAGATGATATCTGCCTGGTCAGTGATTTGAGGCCATCACTCACTTCATATCTACCAATGATTAGATATATAAATTTAATGTATACCAAACCATGTTTTCATGAGGTAACATCCACATGAAATAAACTACTATACACCTTATTTAATTTTCGATTGGCCTTTGAACAAGGAGAGGAAATTTATCAAAATTGATGTTGAAAATCAGCCATGCATGAAATCTTTTGTCTATGGCTGATCGTCAAATGAAATGGAGTTAAGTCTTTCGTCAATTCTGTTTGTTGCTACGGCAGGCAGCCAGTGAAAACGAATTTGTTTAATAAAATTATGAAAATGCAAGCATTAGTTTGAACAAACAGAACTTTGCCTTATTCCTAGCTAATTTGACTGAGGTGTCATATGAAAATGAACTTTCCAGAAATTTGATTTTCTCTTTGAAATTCAGAAACCGTCTACCAAATGACTTTTTGGTACCCTTTCTTCAAATGGATTTTTATCACGGAATTGCATCAATTGAAAGAAGAGGATCTAAGCTTTACAAATATGTGCCATTTATTAATAACGATTGTGATTAAGTTATGATAAAACATTGATATATCTCTTTTTTTTTCTTTCTAGGACGCACTGTATATCTTTAAATGCTAAGAAGCACACAACCACAGGGGTTTATAAGATAATAGCTCAATATGCCAGTCTGTTCCTTTTAAATCAACATCACATTTTCTTTGCTTGCCTCGTTATTTCATCTCACATTTTATTGCCGTAATATCCATCAATTCAATGTGTCACTAAAGTCACATATGATTTTGTTAAATTAAGGCAATCCATTTAACTATTACAGCTCTGATGTGTTCACTTTATATTGTATAGCTCTCTTTTTTCCATGCATGGTGTCAGTTATTGTCAGCTGTGAATGAACCCTGATTTACCTAAGCAATAGATGTTCTCAAATGTATTACTAAGAATCATTACATCCGGTGGCCTATGAATAAACCTCTTTAGCGTGTGAAATACTGCAACAGTACACAATTTTAGAATTGACTATTTATTAACAATGTCAGCAGTTTTTACAAAATATTCAGTGTTGCAAAAAAGACAATAGATATGACATCATCTATGCTATGATAGTGAATCATTTAAAAGTAAAGAAACTCTTTTTGAGGCTCAGAGAAACGGAGTACAATCTCTGAAGGGATTTTCCTGCAAAATCATTAGCTTTGTTCAAAACCATGTAAACAACATACAAAAAGGAAATGTTTGAGTGAATGTTCTGTTTAAAGGCACTATCTCCATAAACACTTCACGTCAAACCGAACAAAAATATAGTTGAACACTTACCAAAGAAAAACAATCCAGATTAAGGGCTCATCAAGTATGCACACATGTAAATCTACAAATATGAATTGATTTTGTGGACTGCAAGCCAAATGAAACAAAGTAAGTTTTAGGAACATAAAGACAAACATGAAAATGAAGCATTATTCAAACACTTAAAGACTAACATCTTTTACATGCCTCTTCTTTAGTTGTCCATGTTCAGTGACATAACCTTATACAGAAATAATGGCTACCTTATTCCAAAACATGCTCATTTTCATCCTCAAGAAAATCAATCATTTCCATCTTTCACACATGCTACAAATCTCGAATTATTTGCTATCAGCTTATTCCTACATTCCAATTTTTCTCAGCTTTAAAGTCAGAGTCCTGCGGTCTTCGATATCGCTTATTGAAATCTTCATTTGAAAACTACCAATCAACATATTCTTCTCTACAGAGGCCAATATTCCTCCTCTGCAAACATTTTATGAAACGTTAATACTGAACATTTCTTGCAAAGAGTGGCTTGTAAACCTGTTTAGTGTGCTTGCACACACAACTGGTAATCTAAATACAGATCTTCATGACAGGCTGCATAGCCCTTTGAAGATTAACAAAAAAAAGATGAAGAAGAAGAAGAAATAATCATTTAATAACCACTTTCAAATTAACCCACTTATTCATAAGCAAAATTCAATACCTTCACAGTCCAATGTCAATGAAAATAATTTTTGACATGAAATGGATAAGTAATAGAGTAGAAACTATATATCTTAAAAATAACTGAACATTTTCAAAATAGAAATCGCACATTCCACCTTTTCTATATTCTAGGAAAGTGAAGAATGAGATATGAATATAAAATACTGCACACTTGTGATTGCTCCACAATTCACTATTTATATTGCACTTTTTTTGAAATCTTATAATTATGACAAGAATTGAAAAACATATGTATAAGATTTCCCAGAGAAAGCCATATCACATGTGAAATAAAACTTTCTTATTCCATTTCACATATTATAAGAAGTATGACCTGTGATAGTATGAAAAGACGATAATATGAGGTTCATCTGTTGATGGTGAAGATTTTGATTCCTCTTTTTTTAATCATAATGAGTTTGTCAAACTTTTAACAGAACAATGGATCTTGTTTTACCAAAAATATTAATATTTTGTTCTACAATATCTTAGCTCTATATCATTAATGTCATAGGAGCTATACAAAAAAAAGCATAACAAAAACAGAGAAGGTCTTTACCCAGAAAATTTGTGAGAGAAAGTTATGTTTATCTCATGTGACATATACATGTATTGTATATACGTATGTATGTAGAAAGATACATGCATTGGAATGCTTCAATGATATACAGGCATAGTAAAAATATTGATCATTTAGTTACACTGAAGTACATCTATAAATCAATCAATTATTATTCCTTGCAATTCCAGTTGCAATTCTGTGATCAGACCATCTCTCCATTGCCCTTTTGACCTATGACCCCTGGATCGCTCTTGGCATTCGCGACCTTCCGATGACTCGCCCCGATGTGAGGGCTATCTGGTACTGGGGCTACCGGGGGCGGAGGAGGGGGATGCGGATGAGGGCAAGTGCATTGGGGGCCGGATTCAGGTTGATGGGGGGTTGCACTTGTTGAAGGTATGTCTTTCATCTCCGTGCAGGGGAGGTGACCGTTATGTATCGGCTCCCCCGGAGGCATGTGTCTCTTATTATGAGCCTCCAGCTCTACCACGGTAAAGTCTGCCCCTGTTATGACCTTTGTATGACCCTGCGGTAAGTCACAGGTGCAGATGGCTTCCACCGGAGCAGTACAGCCCGCATCGCTCAGCTCTGAATGCACCGAGTCCCTTGTTCCTTTACGGTGGTTGGGATGCTGGAACCGCGTGGTATGCGGACAGTATGGCGAATTCCCTGTGCATTCCGTCACCGTGTTGCCCTTGGGCGATCGCCGAATCGCCAGGGGAGAGTCGTACGACTTGCGGCATGTGCAGACCTCCTTGTTGTCATGGCAACCCGAATGACGGTGATGTGATTTCGGGGAGTTGCTGGATCTGTGGGATTTGGGCGAGTGCTTGCTTCCATGGTGGTTTTTATGCGACGATACATTGTCATGGTGACCATCTTGGAAACTGCTTTGTCGGCTTCCCTGGTTGCTACGATGGCTTTTGTGGCTCCCAAGTCGCTGGTGGCTTTTGGTTTTTGAAAGCAATCTGAAATTAGGAGAGTGCAATGGACAATGAAATTAAGTGAAACACAGAGTTATACTTGAACTAATGTATTCTTGTCTGGCTAGGGAGTAGTGAAAGGAGGGAAAAGGCACGGTGCTATCAAGAAGATAATGGAAGATGTGAACATGCTTGCACTGGATTATATAAAAAACCTTATAAAGAGATATATAGAGAAAGGAAGAGGAGGAGAGGGTGAGGAGAGAGACAGAGACAGAAAGACAGATTCAGAGACAGAGAGGGGGAGGGAGAGACAGATAAAGAAAAAGCGAGATAAAGAAAAAGCGAGAGAGAGAGAGAGAGAGAGAGAGAGAGAGAGAAAAAAAAGAGAGAGAGTGAGAGACAAATAGAGAGAGTGCGGGATGATGTCATGTGGATGTCTTTGTAAAGTGTGCACATTTACTGAAAGTTTTTCAGTCCGGTTTGTAATGTTTTGTGTCCATAATGGAAATGTATATCAACTGTTTGGAGCCTGAATGGTACTAATTTTTATCATTTTTGAACATTTCACACACTATTATATCATCATCATCATCTTCGTCATCATTGTCATCATCATCATTATTATTCATTATTATCATCATTATCATTCTCATTATTATAATCATTATCATTATCAGTGAATGCATAACAACAGTAGCCAAAGGGAGTCCCATGGATGGGGGAAAAGAAAAAAGATTAACTCCAAAGCCATAACCGAAGGTCTTCTTTGCAAGTCCTTGTGACTTAACATAGTTGAATAGCACAGAATAGCAAGATACAACAATTAATAAATTAACGCCCTTCAAAAAGACAATATCATCTGTTGAGAGCCAGAAGGGCATTACCTTTGTATATATATATATATGAGTAAATGCATATGATGAGTTAACGTCCTTCTGGCTTCAAACAGATGATATGTGAATTTCAATTAACCCACTCCCTATGGAAACTAGCTTTTCCTGCACTATAAACCTACACTATTATACTTTGGTAGTATATGAGTTAAATAAGCATACTCACTGTTTTCTGACCAGAAAGTACCAGATGACGATGGCTACCAAGACCAGAATTAAGCTGGCTGCTGATGCTGCGACTGAGATGGCAGTCGGGTCTGAATGGGAATTATTTTTTCCATGATCGTTGGCGGCCCCTCCAGCAGCTGTCGTCTTCTCCGTCATAGGAGTGTATACAACTGTAAAAGATGACAAATGAGAAGAAAATGTTCTACAAGTTTAGGTATGTACACTGTTTAGTAGAGGTGTCGTGGTCGAGTGGATACGTTGCCGGACTGTGGATCACGAGGTCCGCGGTTCAAGTCCCGCCACGGCACTAATGTCCTTTGGCAAGACATTGATCTACATTTGCCACACTTCACCCAGGTGATGTAAATGGGGACCTGGTAGGAATTTATTCCTTGAAATACAGAGCATGTGACAGCTGGTCTGCTAAAGCCAGGGTAATTATGCTTAATTATTGTAGAGCGCTTAGAGATTCCTGATAAACTAAATGTAAGGCGCTATATATGCAAATTTAATTATTATTATTATAATTATTATTAGTGCATTAAAAAAAAAAGTAAACTCAAATTCATTTTTTTCTTTTGAAATTTTTTTCAATCATATGGCCATGAAATCAATGTCATCATAAAGAGTAGCTCGTATTCAATCTAATGAAACCTTGTCCATAACTAATTGCTATGGAGGACTGACCAGCTTGGTTCATTTAAAAATATTTTTAAAAATCCCTGCGACAAGAACAGCATCTTGTGCGGGAGGGAGGGGGGGGGGGGGGATAGAGAGACTACAGCCCTAAAATATTTTTAAGGTCCATTTATCACTTTGGCCAGCAATTAAGGTGCCCAAATATTCTTATAATAAAATGTCCATATTACTTCAAATATCAGGAACCTGCTGAAATTTTTTTTATAACCCAACAAGGAACACTTCTGGTTATCTATTAATTTCAGCCATAGAATGAAATCGACCATGCTGTCCAAAGACCTAAAAATTGTTGAGTTTATTGTTATCAAAATTGTAATAACATAAATGATTGTAGAGGAAACCATGGATAAATCCTTGAAAAAGAATTCAAAAGAGACATAAGCGCATAGCATGTAAGATTGAGAGCTATTGCGTGAAGACTTATAAATATATGTCTTCACAACAGTCGATTATTCTGAATCCAAGAAAGAATTACAAACAGTAAAAAGGAATCAACTCTACATGTCCAATGTTGTAATGAAACAATACACAGGATGTGTTTGTCAAACATATCTAGGGTATATAAATGTCACTCTTCCTGCAAAAAAAAATGAAAGATGGGGTGAAAAGGAAGAGGAATTACAAAGAATAGGCAATATCTGTATTGGTGTATTCATAAACTTCAACACCAGTTTCCATGGCAACTATCCTAATGGAGCACGTTTACATCATCGCCATTCTCTTGGCTGGCCAGTCAAGTGTGCTTCATGACAAGGCCCTCGTGTGAGGAGTTATTCACACATTGTTAAAGACAAACTTGTGTACTGGTAGTCATGGGAATACATTGTTTGAAGAAAGAAAATATATATATATATCTGGGTGTTATTGGGTAAAGTTGATGGTGCTGTACACAAGGATTGATGAATACTGTTCAGTTTCGGGAATGTTCAAGATGCAAAGAAACTGACTTACTCTTGTAGAAGATCACATGCACTGAACAAGATGTATTTATAGGACTATACATAGATGTTTGGTCCAAACACTTTCAGATATTTTCTTGTCATATTTCAAATAAAAGGGTATTGTAATTATGAAAAACACTTTTAAGGAGACATTTCTACAGTGTTGTTCTTCCAAACTGACAATTATACAGAATGAGAAAGCTTACACATTATTTTTCATCTTTATAAGAACTCAACCTTCTCTTTTAAGGTTGTGCTTAAATTTCCCTAACCAAGACTGAAACCACAATGCCGGAAGTTGACTGCAACATAGACCTGAATTCTCTGTACTTGCTGAACATAGTATCATGGCAACAAATAAATTCATCCCACTGTTTTCAGTTGCATATGGAAAGAAAATGTCAGTGATGCACACCGTGTCTCATGCTGTCTTAAGAGCACTTGTCTACAAGCTTGCTTCTATCTAAGTCATGAAACGACAAGGTCATCAAGAAAGAAAGATGAGGATAGAACTCTCTTACAAAGACAGTGGTTAGATCTATGTTGAAGATGCAATTTTACCCTATAGTGCTTAAATGTCATTCATTTTCCCATAACTAATGCGCTTCAATGTAAAGGTCTTACATTTCATGCAGCGGCGACAATTGCTCAGGACACTACACTTACTACAACATCCCTGGGCCAAACATTATAATTAACCATCACCAAGCAAAACCATATGAACCTAACCTAAAACATAGAGCGACACTATAACCTTACATCTGCAGGGAAATACAGCCTGGAGCGAATAGTGATTCACCACGTTTAAGTTGGATTTTCCCTGATATATTTTAAGATGGGTGGATGACTACCTGACTCATGACTCCTATCGTTCCCTACATTTGTAGCTTAACAGATGGCACATGAGAAAGCATACCGTATCATTGCCAATTTGAATGCAATAATCACATAACATTGACAGCCAACCTTGCTCTCAAGGGACATATTATCAGTTAGGTGAAGCTACAAGAATCCACAAATAGGCCTGTCTTCATCTTCTCGAATTTGCCAAACTACCGGTAACCCACTTTTTAAACTATCCTGATCACAAATTAATCAGTTAATTTGCTTCTTCATCAGCCCACAGTTGCAATTAGCGGGATATTTGGTCGAGTAAATATCCCAAAAAATCTTAGTCTTGTTTCCAAATATCCCGCTATTTTGGAAAAAGCGGGCTGAAGACGCAATTTCAAGCTTGGGGATATTATCCAGAGTCTGAAAATAGCGGGTTATTTGGCAAACTTGAGCTGATGAAGACAGGCCTATTATGTATCATGTGAGCAAGCTGAAAATCTATTTTCCATATTTATTGCAATCTTAAGCCTGGCGACAGAGATAGGAGAGATTTATGACTACACCCAAGAGAGCCTGAAACTGAACTTGTGTGTGAAGTACACGATACAGCAATATTGGAGATTTAATATGTATGGTGGCCCGATCAATATTGCTGATGCATGTAAAATTGTGGCCTTGTAGTGTGACAACTGACTGACAAGAGTTGGTGAAGAAGTACATGTATCGTCAATTGTTGTTATGAGAGCTTGTTTCGAGAGACCGATAGACTGTGTATCATGCTGGAAGGAGTGAGAGAGAGAGAGAGGGGGGGGGGGGGGGTGAGAAGGGGATGAAGAGAGGGGGCTGCAGTGAAGGGGGGAGGGGGACAGGGGGTGGGAATATGGGGCGGGGCAGTGGACATCAATATTGATGTTTTAGAGCTATCGAAAAAAGCATGTACCATACTGGAAGAGGTGAGGGTGAGGAGATGGCATGGGTAAAGGAAGAGAGGTGGATGAGGAGGGGGATGGGTGTAGGGGGAGGTGGAGAGGGACAGGGGTGGGAATATGGGGGTGCGGCAACTGAACCTTTGTGAACTACAAGAGACCGCAATATTTGAGATTTAATATGTATGGTGGATCAATGTTGCTGATATACTATATATTGTGGCCTTAAATTGTGACAACTGGCTGACAAGAGTTGGTGAACAAATAGGTGTCATTAATATTGTTGTTTTACTGGAAGGAGTGAGAAAGAGAGGAGATGGGAAGGGGAGCCATGAAGTGTTCAAAAACCTTAATGCAGACGTGATTAAAGTCAAGGATAGCATTTAATGGCCAAATTGGTACAGGATAGGAATGACCGAGCAAATTAGGGCTCTGATTGTACCACCTATGTAGTATAATGGCAGGCAATTTTTAACAAGCTCTAACTGCCATATTAATTGGGTGCAGCATTGCCCGGGCACAGAATGTCTATTTGTACCG